AATAAAGCAGCTAAATTTTATTTCAATTTTCAAATTTATGAAGAAATCTATATTTTATCATGTTTTATTGTACTATAAATCATGCATTTTTCTTACTGCCCCTCAAAAACAATCTGCTTTGCTCTGAAATTGCATGTTATAGAAGAAAACATATTTTAAATATGGACAAATGTATATATGGTGTAATAAAAGTTAATAGAAAAGTGAACAATGCACTTATATAATAAAATATCTTTGCATCATCATAATAATAAAATAAAATAAAATTAAATAAAATTAAATTAAATTAAATTAAATTAAATTAAATTAAATTAAATTAAATTAAATTAAATAATTAAATAAATTAAATTAAATTAAATTAAATTAAATTAAATTAAATTGATTTGAATTGAATTGAATTGAATTGAATTGAAATTAAATTAAATTAAATTAAATTAAATTAAATTAAATTAAATTATTAAATTAAATTAAATTAAATTAATTTTAATTAAATTGAATTGAATTGAATTGAATTGAATTGAAATTAAATTAAATTAAATTAAATTAAATTAAATTAAATTAAATTAAATTAAATTAAATTAAATTAAATTAAATTTAAATTTAAATTTATTAAATTTAAATTTAATTAAAATTAATTAAAGATCCTTCATGTTATTCATTGTTACTTTGAGGCAGTGTTGCCAGGACTGCAGTTGTGCAGTTGGTGGTTGTTGTTTTTTTTTTTTTTTTTTTTTTTTTTTAGGGGACTTTCATAACGTGACAAGCCCGCCAAATTATTTCTTTTTTAGCAAATACAAAATGGAAACTGATTTTTTTCTTAATAAGCATTGATCCATGTGAATGTCTGGCAACACAAAATCTGCTGCATGTGAGTGAGTAAAACTGAAGGCACGTTATAAATGAAAGGAATGGAATATCACCAACATCTTAGAAAGACACGTATAAGTGTTATTTGGTGCGTCAGCATTCAGTTAGCACTTTAACACAGATGCTTTATCTACAAGTGTGAGAATTCATCAATTGGAAAAAAAATAGCCTACTTTTAATTAATTTTAAGTGGTTGGGTTTTAAGTTTTCACTGGGCTGTATATTGTCTCAGACCTGGCAACCCTGCTTTGAGGGATCACTCCAAGAAACAAAGGCAGAGGAGTTTTTGAGATACCCAGATGAAGCCTGGCATCGCTAAAATTCCGAGCCAGGATTAGTCTCCAGGATCAGTGAAACAATCCCATAATTCATTAATACCTACTCACTGCTCAGCTGGGTGAGAATGAAATGAGAAGCTGACATTAACAGCGTTGCCAAGCTCACAGGCTTTTTAATTGAAAAAAAGCAGAAAATGCCCGTTTTTATCTGGTTGTTGTGGATGGCAGATGTTTAGCGCTGCGAAAGCAGGTCAGCGGAGGCACAAGCGCACATGAACCTTCACTTACTAATTTGGCTAATTAGTTTCTTAAAGTAATGACCTGTGTCTTTCCACACAATATGTGCGATGCTGGAGCGTCCATATGGAGAAAAAAAGATTTATGATTGTGGCCCGAGGACAGCGCGCACACTGTTTACTGAAGCTAATGCTGCTTTGGAAAGTTTCCAGTGGTTTTACTTATTTATTTATTTATTTATTTTTTGAGTAATATATCCACCTTTTTTGTCGACGTTCATAAGTGTGGTTATTCAAGGCTTGCTATTAACAACCAGGGTCAGAATTCAGTTTTCTGTGAAGGGTAAAGGGAACTGATTTGCATTATTATTACAGTGTTTTTTTACACTACCTGACAAGTCTTGTTGGCTATCCGAGTTTTAAGAAACAACAAATAATAACTTGATTTTAGTTGATCATTTGGTATCAGAAGTGGCTTACATGAAAGGCAAAGGCCTCTAGATTACGCTTATTTTACCAAAATAAAATATCATCATGCCTTGATTTTGAATTATTTAATTAGGACAGTAAGGTCTGACTTTGCTTAGACAAAAGTCTTGTCACTATTAACAGAATTAATGTACAGTATAGAATATAAAGTCATGCTGCAGTGGAAAAAGAATCAATATTGTGTCTGATTCCCATGAGCCTGGAGGACTGCATCCAATCATCTCTTCAATGACTCAAATCACTTATTAATAAAGTCATCTGGAATGACAAAGAAAGGGATTCTTTGAAAGAAAGATTCTTTGGATTCATCTTCAATGCCTTCTCCACTTTACCCCAGACATGCTCAATAATGTTCATGTCTGGTGACTTGGCTGGCCAATCCTGGAGCACCTTGACCTTCTTTGCTTTCAGGGACTTTGATGTGGAGGCTGAAGTATGAGAAGGAGCGCTATCCTGCTGAAGAATTTGCCCTCTCCTGTGGTTTGAATTGTAATGGGTATCACAAATCTCATGTTTTCCCGGCTGTTGATGTTGTCATCCACTCTGTAGATCTCTCGCACACCCCATACGGAATGTAACCCCAAACCATGATTTTTCCTTCATCAAACTTGACTGATTTCTGTGAGAATTTTGGGTCCATGAGGGTCCCATTAGGTCTTTTGCAGTACCTGCGATGATTGGGATGCAGCTCAACAGATCATTTAGCGGAAAAATCTACCTTATTTCACTTTTCCAAATGATCAATTAGAAGTCAAGTTATTATTTGTTGCTCTTACAACTGAGATCAACGACAAAAGTTTTATCTGGTAGTGTAATGTGTGCAGGGCTGGCGCGTCCATAGAGGCAACCTAGGTGGCCGCCTAGGGCGACAGAATAGAGGGGGCGACGTCCCCGACACTACCCTCATCCCTCCATGCCATCAGTTATATCCGCGTCTAGGGCGGCAGAATAGAGAAGGCGGTGTCCGCGACACTACCCTCATCCCTCCGTGCCATCAGTTATATCCGCGTCTAGGGCGACAGAATAGTGGGGGCGGCGTCCCCGACACTACCCTCACCACCCGCGCCCTCAGTTATATCGGAATAGAGAGGGGGGCGTCTGCGACACTACCCTCACCACCTGCGCTCCAATAACACCCCCCCCCCCACCCCCACATACCCCCCACACCCACGCTTTCACTTTAGGGTTGAGGGCGGCGTGACCGTCCTTTGCCTAGAGCGGCAGTTCAGCTTGCTCCGGCCCTGGATGTGTGTAGTAATAACTGTGTTGCCTGTTATATCAAATACTTAAAATAAGTTTACATTCTCGAAATGAAGTGTATTGTTGCCTGTTTATCAGCATGACATGGGCATGTTGGTGATTCCCAATTCTATTTAGTCTTTTTTTTTTTTTTTTTTTTTTTTTTTTGTTGAATTTTTGGGTTTGCCTAAGACAGGGGTGGCCTACCCTGTTCCTGGAGATCCACCTTCCTGCAGATTTCAGTTGCTACCTATATCAAACACACCTGAACCAATTAATTAGGACCTG